GATGTGACGAGATGGGGTAGATTTGACCTAATGTTCTTTCTTATCACTCTTCATCCCTATTGCTTTCTCCTCTTAGAGGCACCTTCTTTTTCCTCAGGGATATTCAAGCATGTCCTCTTCAATGAAGCAAGTGTCCTGAGTGTCTGCTCTGTTCTTAAGGATACAGAAAAAATTAGACATCATCCATTCTCACAGAGCTTAGAGTCTTTTGGGGAACTGATGGGGGGAGGGGAGGGAGTCAGTGGGTGCCACTGATTCCTGCGTGAGATTTGGCCTCAGTTTCCTTGTCTGAAATTGGGGAGATGAAAAGGGAGGAGAGAAAGGTGGAATTTTCTGCCTTCTGAGGTCCTTTCCGAGTCTAAGATTCCCTTGTGAATTTCGTGTGTGTGTGTGTGTGTGGCGGGGGGAGGTCTCTGATGTCCAGGTGTACATGTGTGTGGTCAAAGAATGAGCGTAAAGGAAGGTGTCTGATATATACAGACTTGGGATAATTTTTCCTGCTTTTTATTTTGTAAATATATGTACATCAGCTTTATTAAGATATGATCATATAACATAAAATTCACACATTTTTAAAATTGAAAAAAATTTTTTTAAGATTTTATTTATTTGAGAGGAAGAGTGAGTGAGTGAGAGAGAGAGCACATGAGCAGGGGGAGAGGGAGAAGCAGGCTCCCCACAGAGCAGGGAGCCCGATGCGGGGCTCGATCCCAGGACCCTGAGATCATGACCTGAGCCGAAGGCAGACGCTCAACCGACTGAGCCACCCAGGCGCCCCATAATTCACACATTTAAAATGTGCAATTCAGTGGCTTTACATAGCGTCACAAAAGTGTGCAACTATCACCACAATCAATTTTAGAGCATTTCATTACCTCAAAAGAAATCCTGTACCCATTAGCTGTCGCTCCCCTTTTCCTCCTAACCTCCCAGACCCAGGCAACTATATACCTTTCTTTTTCTGTAGATTTGCTCATTCTGAACATTTCATACAATGTGTGCTCTTTTGTGACTGGCTTCTTTCAATCAGTATATTTTCAAGGTTCATCCGTCATAGCATGTATCAGTACTTTGTGTTTCTATTGCTGAATAACTCATTGTATGGATATTCCACATCTTATTTATCCATTCATCAGTTGTTTGACATTTGGATTATTTCTACTTTTTGACTGTTATGAACAATGCTGCTGTCAACATTCGCATGCAAGATTTTGTGTGATCATACATTTTCATTTCTCCTGGGGGAAATGAAATACCTAGAAGTGGAATTGCTGGGTCATATTGTAACTCTGTGTTTAATCTTTTGAGGAACTGTGAGACCATTTTCCAAAGTGGCTGCACCATTTTGCTTCCCCCCAGCAGTGTGTGAGTTCCAGTTTCTCCATGTCCTTGCCAACACTTCTTATTATCTGTCTTTTTTTAATTCTAGCCATCCTAGTCATTGGGAAGTAGTATCTCACTGTGGTTCTGATTGGCATGGTTAATGATACTGAGCATTTTTTTATGCACTCCTTGGTCATTTGTCTATCTTCTTTCAAGAAATGTATATTCAGAGTTTTGCCTTTTAAAAAAAATTGGATAATTTGCCTTTTAATTATTGAGTTATATGAGTTCTTTATATTTTCTAAATACAAGTCTCTTATCTGATGTATGATTTGCAAATATTTTCTCCCATTCTCTGGGTTGTCTTTTCACTTTATTGATGGTGGGTTTGTTATTTTTTTAAGATTTTATTTATTTATTTGAGAGAGAGAGAGAGCATGAGCAGGGGGAGGGGCAGAGGGAGAAGCAGACTCCCCACTGAGCAGGGAGCCCAGTGCAGGACTCGAGCCCAGGACCCTAGGATCATGACCTGAGCCTAAGGCAGACACTTAACCAACTGAGCCACCCGGGCGCCCCAAGTGTTTATTTTTTCTTTAGTTGCTTGTGCTTTCAGTAAGCAAGCTTTGCCTAACTCAACCTCATGAAGATTTACCCCTATATTTTCTACAAAAATTTTATAGTTTTAACTCTTACATTTAGCTCTGTGATTCATTTTGAGTTAATTTTTGTGAATGGTGTGAGGATGGGGTCCAACTTCATTCTTTTGCAAGTGGGCATCCAGTTGTCCCAGCATGTTTTGTTGAAAAGACTGTTCTTTCCCTTTGAATAGTCTTGGCAGCCTTATTGAAAATCAATTGACCATGGATGTATATATAGGTTTATTTCTGGACTCTCAGTTCTATTCCATTGATTTATGTGTCTGTCCTTATGGTAGCACCACACTCTTAATTACTGCAGCTTTGTATTAATTTGAAATCAGAAAATATGAGTCCTCCAACTTTGTTCTTCTTCTTAGAAATTATTTTGCTTATTCCAGATCCCTTTAATTACCGTATGGATTTTAGGATCAGCTTCTCAAGTTCTGCTTCTGCAAACAAGCCCTGTTCTTTTTATGATGGTCAGAAACAGAATAATATCATCAACGATTATTCTGAACAAAATAAAAAATAATCCACCTATGATTGCATCATCTAAGCAATAATTACTGAGCACCTACTATGTACCAAGCATGGGGAATATAGAGATGTGTAAGACATGGGTCCTCACCTCAAGCTGCTTACAGTCTAGCAAGGATACAGATGTGAACAGAAGTAAATACCTTTCAGTGTGTAAAGTAGCACACAAGGTTCAGTGGGAATACTCAGGAGACTGTCAAACAGGGTTAGTGAGGAGGCTTTTCCAAGGATTCAGTGCCTGAGCTGAGGCTTGAGGGAGGTTTAGGAGTGTGCTCTTCCAGCCAGAGGGACAAGCATATGGAAAGGCATGCAGATGGGGACCATAATGGCATGTTTGAGAACTTCAAGGGGTTCAGTTTGACTGGTGCAGGGGAAGGAGTGTTGAATCAGTGGCAAGAGATGTGTTTGAGGAAGCAGACAGAATCTTCTGGAGGGTCTTGTGTGCCAAGCCCAGGTAGTTGAACTTTATCTAGTACGTTGGGCAAACTCAAAATTTTTGTCAGGAAAATAGTAAGGTTTTGTTGTTGTTTTATTTTTTATTTTTTATTTTTTTTAAAGATTTTATTTATTTATTTGACAGAGAGAGACAGTGAGAGCAGGAACACAAGCAGGGGGAGTGGGAGAGGGAGAAGCAGGCTTCCCGCTGAGCAGGGAGCCCGATGCGGGGCTCGATCCCAGGACCCCTGGGATCATGACCTGAGCCGAAGGCAGACGCTTAACGACTGAGCCACCCAGGCGCCCCGTTGTTGTTGTTGTTTTAAAAAGATCACACTCTGCTAGCTGACTGCCTGGTGAAAGTGTGTCCAATGGCAGGAAGAGCAGGTAGGAGGTGGTTGCAATAGAGGGATGATGAGGACACCCTAGCTAAGACAATGCCGTTGAAGAAGGGGACTAATCTGAGAGAGATATTGGCAGTGGATTGACAGGACATGGTGACTGATTCAGTCTGGGGAACAGAGAGAATCGGGGTGGTTCTCTCAGACAGTTTTGCATGTGCATTTCTTAGTTGTCATTATGAGATATATATATATATATGTCCTGGTTTGTATTTCTCTTTTTTCACTTATGACATCATTTTTTTTTTTTAATTTCTGCCTGGCCTGAACGTTATTATTTTAATGGATGTAAGGTGATCCATTAAGTGCTTGGGCCATCATTTGTAATGCTTTTCCTAGTGTTAAACATCTCCACTGCTTCCTTTTTTTTTTTTTTTTTTGTGAAGTCACAATAAACATCTTGGTATACTTGGCATCTTTCTTTTGAATCCTTTCCTTACGATGAGTTTCTATAAGTGGTATTACTGAGTCAAAGGGTATGGACCTTTTTTTAATAGACAGATTAGTTTTGTTGTGGATTCGTACCACAAAGAAATATACAAAGCGCATGTAAAAATCCGTCCCACCTCCCGTGCAGTGTCCACAGTTTGATGGGCATCTTCTCAGTCACAATCTGTACCCATTTAAAATTGTAACAGATAGAGCTACATCGTCTTCTAAAAGGTGTCACTCATTGAGAGTGCCCATTTCCCCACATCTTCAGCAACTCTTACCAATCTTTTTAATTTTTACCAATTTAAGGAGCAAAGAAATTGCCTGATTGTTTTCATTTACTTTCTTCTGATTGTTAGTGAGGTTGAACATCTTGTTAGGTTTATTTGGCCGTTTTCATGCCTCCATGAATTTCCTGTTCGTATACTTTGCTCATTTGTCTTTTAAGTTGCTTGTTTTATCTTCTTGATTTTTAGAAGATCCTTATATATTCTGGATTGTTAACCTTTTTGCCAATTAAATATAGGCATTTTGGGGCACCTGGGTGGCTCAGTCTGTTAAGCATCCAACTCTTGGTTTCAGCTCAGGTCAGGATCTCATGGGTTATGAGATCAAGTCCCATGGGTTCCTCGCTCAGAGGGGAGTCGGCTTAAAGAGTTTCTCCTGTGGGCACCTGGGTGGCTCAGATGGTTAAGCATCTGCCTTCGGCTCAGGTCATGATCCCAGGGTCCTGGGATCGAGTCCCGCATCGGGCTCCTTGCTCAGCAGGGAGTCTGCTTCTTCCTCTCCCCCTGCTTGTTCTCTCTCTGTCTCTCTCGCAAATGAATAAATAAAATCTTTAAAAAAAAAAAAAAAAAAGAGTTTCTCCTGCTGTCCCTCCCCCCAATAAATAAATCTTTACAAAAAATGGATATTTTCATCCATTCTGTTACTTTTTTTTAAGTTATCTTTCATCATAGAGAAGCCTTCAGCTGTTACAAGGTTAAGTTTATTGCTCTCACCCTTTACTCAGGCTTATAGGTCTTGTGTTTTTTTAGGAAGGCCTTCCCCACTTTAAACTTAAAAAATATTCTTCTGTATTTTCTTTGGGTTTTGCTTTGTTTAATTTGTTTGTATAGGTCTCTAACACATCTGGACTTTATTTTGTAGTGTGAGATGAGTCTAACTTTTTTTTTCCCCAAATAGAAATTGTCCCAAGGCCATTGACTAAATAGACCATCCTTTCCCTGTTAATTTGAAATGGGGTGTGAACCTTTTTGTGGATTTTGGTACCTAGTAGGGACTGCCTTCTTAAAAAGGACAGGCTCGTTTATACAGACTGACATTGGCAACGTGTACAGTTTCACTGCAACTTTGTGAGTATTGGCATGGTTGTTTTATTGATTGTAAGCAAACTTAATTTTTTGTTTATATTGGTACATAGTTATTGTCATTTCTCAATGACACAGTGATAGTATATAGAGTACTTTATTGAATAGACTCAATGCCAAAACAGCTGTTACTGAAGGAAGCCTTAGAAATGAATGGAAGTCTGAAGATGAATGGCTTCCACCCCACCCTCCATCTTCTTCCACTGCCTATCCTTTGCCTCTCATAGGATCTTCTGCAAGAGAGCCGATCCTCATTACTGCCAGGGTGACCACAGAAAGGACCCCAGGAACCTGCCTGTATTTTAGTGCTGCTCCAGGAATCCTGCCCTCCAGCCAGCCACCCCTCTCCTGCTCAGAGGAGGGAGCAGGAAATGCCACCTTGAGTCCTGAGATGGCTGAGGAGTGTATCAGGGTCTGGAGCCACGAAGGCCTTGTGCTCACCAAGTTGCTCACCTCGGTAAGAGCCTCAGGTTGTTGGGGTTTCATAGTCTGCCATGCTGAATGCTCTGCCTTGAAGGCTGCTGGGGGCAGTTCTACCTAGGAGAAAAGGCAGAGGCTCTATAATTCTGCCTCAGAGGCTGTGTGACCTTGAGCAAGCATCTGAGCTTCTCTGAGCCTCAGCTTCCTCATCTGTAGAATGGAAAACATGACACTATCTCCTGATGCCAACAAATAAAGATGAATGAGAGTGAATGTCAGGTGCCCAGTACAACGCCTGCTACATAATAGAGATTGGGTGAGTGACAGCTATTACTATTAATGATTGTCTTTACACAGAGTAAAATATGATCTCCACCTTAAAGGAATGCAGAAGCTGTAATAAGAGGCAGAATGGGCTAATCGCTATCATAGAGGTGTGAGCAAAGTGTTATTCAAACACGGAGTAAGGAGCAATTAACCCTAACTTGAACATTTATGGAGATTGCTTCACAGAGAGGGTGGCATTTAAGAAAGAGAATTGTGTACAGTAGTTTATAATGTACAAAGTGCTTTCCGGTTCACCATCTCATTTGATCTTAAAATAGCCTTTTGAGGTAGCTGTTATTATCCCATTTTACAGATGAGGGGGAGTGAATTGCCCAAGGCCACACAACTGGTTACGTGGCAGACCCAGGATTTCAACCTATGCCTTCTGACTGCAGTCCCAGGCTTTGCCCTTTCAGGGTGACCCTTGAAGAGGAGGAAGATGTGGGCAGAGAATGCAATAGAGGGGGTTCAGGAGAGGGGAAACACATTCCAGGCAAAAGGACAAGCACAAGCATGGGCCTGGAGATTGAAGTGTTCAGCCTTGGAGGGCACTCCATGAGGAGGGGCTTAGGAATGACTGAGGGGGAGAGGCAGGGGCCTGATTGTGAGGCACCGCGACTTGAGGCTAAAACACTACGACTTGATACTGCAGGCCATGGGGGCCGTTGGTGCCGGGTGAGAGAGACCGAGTAGAGGAGACAGACCAGTTAGAGGTTAGAGTTAGGAGGCTGCTATGTGCTTTTCTCTCACATTTGCAAAGACCCTGGCGAGGAGCATCACCTGGGAGCTTAGAATCAGAGAAAATACTGGTTTCCAGACCGGGCCTGCTTGAGTACATTTAAAATGTGGGCAGTAGTGAATTTCCCATCTAATGGAGACATTATGGGGGTTCACTTCAGTGGCTGGGCAAGAAAGCAGTTCGTAGACCATTGAGACAATTAGCTTGTATAGAAATTACATTTTCCCACATTTTCCCTTTGGTTGCTCCCTGGATGTAGAGAGCCCTCTCCCCTCATGGGGGCTTCTCTCTATAGCTCTTGGCCCCAGGGATAAGATTTCTTCCCAGAGGAAGGTTCTCCACCCTCCTTCCCTCTCATCCATTCCTCCTTCCCTCCCTTTGCCCATCCTTAGGAGGAGCTGGCTCTGTGTGGCTCCAGACTGTTTGTTTTGGGCTCCTTCCTGCTTCTCTTCTGTGGCCTTCTCTGCTGTCTCACTGCGCTGTGCTTCCACCCACGCCGGGAGTCCCACTGGTCTAGAACCCGGCTCTGAGGGCACTGGCCTAGTTCCCATCTTGTTCTCAGGTAAGGTTCTTCGCCCCAGTCCTGTGGGAGTAGGGGGTGGGGTGGAGGTGGCAATTATAACTAAGACAGACTCATTCCTAAACAATATGGTTTGGTTTTACGTATTTTTGCACTTTATGTAGATGGAATCATATATATTCTTGTGTGACTGACTTCTTGCCGTTAACATTCTGATTTTAAGATTCATCCATAGCTGTAGTTCGCTTTTTGGCAACAGTGGTGAGTTAACAGGGTTCGCATTTGATGATGCATCCTGGGTGTGAATTTTGTTTGCCTTGCTTTTGTCCTGAAATTCTGATACCCAGTTTGATGATGCAAGTTTTGTAAAACTCACCTTGAACAGCGCAAAAGGATTGATGATGCGCATTTACTAGGCACATAGTATGTGCCCAAGCATTTTACATACACTTTCCCTTTTCCATCAGCCTTCATTGCATTTAGAAAAAGTTGATTTTGCTAATAGCAAAGTAGTGTGAGGAACACACCTCACAAAGGTGGCAGTGGGCGGGGAACATATTGGCTAACTAGTCCATGTGTCCGCTCATTAAGGAAAAAAATATTTCTGTAAAAAAGTCTCACTCTGTGAGGTGGAGGTCATATAATTTAAGAGTTATCTGTTGTGCACCCAGCTCTTAAACTGTTCTCAGCTTCAATGACTAGCTGCTGTACCCTAGGAGATAGCCATGGGAGAAGTTAAAACAGCCCAAGCCCAGGGAAGGGCTCTGGCCAGAGGAACTGGAGGCTCAAGATCAACTTTGCTTATTTTGCTCAGGGCTAGGCTCCACCTACTTGGGATAGGAGATGGTGGAACCCTCCTAGCTTTTCTTAGATCTGAGTGGACTGGGAAATGAAGGCTTTCTGGCTCCTAGCAGATCCTAGGGTCCTGAAGCCACCCACCCAGTTGGGATGAGTGCTTGTACCCACTTCCTCTGCTCCTTCCTCACTCTTTGCAGCCATCCCAGAGCTTCCCCCAACAGCCCTCTGATCTGCCCTGTTTTTTTGGTTTTTAATTTTATTTATTTGAGAGAGTGAGCGAGAGCACGAGCAGGGGGAGGAGCAGAGGCAGAGGGAGAAGCAGACTCCCCGCTGAGCAGGGAGCCTGACGACGTGGGGCTCGATCCCAGCACTCCAGGATCATGACCTGAGCTGAAGGCAGACATTTAACAGAATGAGCCACCCAAGCGCCCCTCTGCCCTTGTTTTTAATCTTCTTTTTCTCCAGGTGTGAATCAACTTCTCCAGACTTTGTTCTAAGTTGGAAGAAATGTTTCAAAAAATGGAGAGCTGGAATGTGGGGGAAAATAAAAGGCTTTTTTTGCCTAGTGTTGCCAGGGTGTTTATTGGGGATTGGGTTGAGGTGGGAATTTCAGGGTAGGTTTGGGGGACTTTTCCTTGTTGACTCTTCAGTTTGGGATACAGGCTGGCATAGGGCGTGGATTACTGCAGCTCTATCCTCTATTGTGACTTGCCTTTGGAAAACACCTGGTTTTGATCGCAGCTCTGCCACCTTATGTCTTGTTTTCTTCTATGAAAGAAAATCGATAGTTCCAACTAGTTGAGAGAACCATGGGGATGCTTTGACATAAATGCTGTGTGACCTTGTGCAGGTCATGCAGTTGTGAACGGCCTGCTTCCTGAAGGGATTTGACAGATTAAGCTTTCCCAGCAAAGATTCCTCGAATTTGGGAGTCCACGCCCTGGCTGTACGGTTACTAACCAGAGCAGTCCATTTTCCCGCCTTTTTGCGCCCAGCAAGTCTCCTTCCCTTGCCCCTCCCAACCGCTACCTTATAAGCAGGCGCAGATCCCGGCTTCTTTTCCTTCCACTCGCGCCCCCTCAAAGCTTCCCCTAGCAACAAGCTCGGGCTCCTCGCTAAGGCGGGGCGAGCGCATGCGCTGCAGCCCTCTCCACGGCCAGTTGTCGGACTGCGTGCTGAGCTCCTCCCCCTCCAAGCCTAGCCCTTCTCCCCGCCTCCTCCCATCGAGGGTCCGCGTGGCGGAGCGCGCGCGCACTCTGACTTGGTGGCTGCCCATCTCCCTGGCCCCAGCAGTGAGGATAGAGGGGCGGGGCTATTTCATTTTAGGTTCCGCCCCCTTTGGCCCGGCGTCCCTACCGCGCCTGCGCGCTCCCGCCCGGTCTCCATCTTGGAATTGGGAGGAAGAGGGAGAGGGAGACCGGGACGAGACCGGGGCTCTGGTGCGGAGAGAGGCTGAGACTGAGAAGAGGAGAGGGAGAGAAGGCGCGGGGACCGTCCTTAGCTACAATCTTTCAGCTACCCCCAGGAGAGAGAAGGGAGAAGGGAGGAGGCCGGGGCGGGAGTGAGGGCTGTCACCCTCGGACCCCGGCGTGAGAGGGGCCGTGCGGCCGGACGTCCTCGGGGTGGGCCCCCTGTCGGTGGCCGAAGACCTGGGGCTCAGGCCCTTCGGTCGCGAATTTCCGGGCTTGACCCCTCGCTTCTCAAATATCCGGGCATCAGCCCCTCAGACCCCACATATCCAGGACTCGGGTCCCAACCTCTCTAAACCTGGGGCTCTGTTTCATAGGATTTCAAAAATCTGGGGTTCAGGCCCCTGCGTGCACCAGTGTCCGGGGTTCATTCCCCGCGCGTTCAGATATCAAATTCAGCCTCCCTTCGTTCAAATATCTGGGGTTCAGACCCCACAACCAGAAATCCGGGATTCAGCAACTGTCGCTCTCGAGGAGGAGGAGGACTGGACCGCGAGGTCAGATCAGGTTGTCACCCCCTCCCCTCCAGGGGAGGCTTCCCGGGCCCGCCCCTCAGGAAGGGCGAAAGCCGAGGAAGAGGTGGCAAGGGGAAAGGTCTCCTTGCCCCTCTCCCTGCTTGGCAGAGCCGCTGGAGGAACCCAGGAGGAGGCGGAAGCGCTGGGGCACCATAGTGACCCCTACCAGGTGAGACACGGGGTGCAGGGGCGCGGGTCCCTGTATCTAGCATTGAGAAGAAAGGGTGCTCCTTTTTGAGGAACTGGGCCTGGATAGGCCCTCTCCTCAGGATGAAGCCCAGTGGGCCAGTGGTCAGCCTCTGGCTAGCCGTGCCTTTTGCTGCCACCTTGTTCCTCCTTCATTATGTGTCTGATGGGGGAACATCAGGTGACAGGGTCTTTGATGTCATGGGGGTCACGCCCTAGGGTGCTTGAGCTAATCAGATGGGTTTGTACTCTTCTGGTCTTCTCCCATGTTCACTTTGCCCCTCACAGCTACCTGTTCTCCGTGATTATACCCCTTTCTCTGGATTGCTTTGGGTGTTGATTCCCTTGCCTTTGATCTCCATGGTGGGTCCACTTATCTGTTTTTTAGGCATGGTCTGGTCGGATTTCTTGTCCTTTCAAGGAAGTGTGTGTGTGCATTTGTGTTAGGGAATGCCTGGCAATATTTTCTCCCAGCTATATCATTACTTCCCAACCTCTTGCTGATGGTGTAATCTCATACATTTGTCAAGCGATCTGTCATTTACAAAGTGCTTTACATCTGTTCTCTCATGTGACACCTCCCCCTCCATTCACCCCTGTGGGGGCTTCTTTTGTTGCTGTCTTCCCATTTTACAGTTGAGAATATTGAGGCCCAGAGAGGTTGCCCAAGGTCACACAATGGCAGAATCAGGATTTGAACCCAAGTTTTTGATCAAGTTTTGCCCCTGCTCCATACCTGTTTCTTGGCATCTGTTCTTGGCCAGGGATCCAGAGGAGAATGAGTTGGGGTGAGATTTAAGAATGAGGGGGAGAAGAGCTTCCTTTTTAGGAGGGCTATCCTCAGAAGCTTTTCCTGATGGGAGGCTCTGGCTCCTGTCTTCTGTCTTGTGGATTTTTCTCTCTACTGTGACCTTCATCTTTACCCTGATTCCATTCTTTGGCCTGGGTTCCTGAGAGGGCTCTCTCTTTTGACAGATGATAGCCATAGTGGTGTCTCTTCACAGTTAAAGCCAAGCTGCTGGGGTAGGATGATCTCCAAAGTATTAAATCCTTGTGGTGACCCTGGAGGCAGGGAAGGAAAAATCCATACGCCAAGTGTCTGCCTAGTGTTCCTAGGTTTGAGATCTCATTAAAAATCTCACAACAGCTCTATGCTGTAATTCATTTTACCAAAGAGAAGACCAAGTATAAGGAACTTACTGAAAACCCTGTGATATGTTGCTGGTGAGATGTACTGGTAGTGTTGCTTAGGGACAGACTTGGGTTTCCTCATCTGTAGAATGGAGATAACATTGTCCATTTTAGAAAGTGGCTGTGATTTAGCACAGACCTTGGTAATCGCTCAAATATTCATTATTTGAGGAAGAGGCCCTGCATGATGTTTTGTTGGCATCCCTTATATGTGGCTTGGGGTCCTGGGTTTGCATTCTGGGCTGGGTGCTGGTAAAGAGGTCAAGAAGATTGCTTTGGCAAGTTGTGAGCCACCTGCCTTTGTGTGTGGGTGTGTGGTGGGGGTGAGGGGTGCTTGGCAGGGTTACTGGCAGGAGAATGGAGCAAGGGGCCTGTTTTGAGCAGCTTGGGAGCTGCTGAGGGCTTGGCTGAAGGCAGTCAATCAATCTCCCAGGCTATTCTGAGCCCTCTGCACCCTGGGGGCCCACGCGAGAGTCAGGCTTACTTCTTGCCCTCCAGCTTTCAGTTGGGCTAAGGAGACAAAATTAACAGGAAACAATGCACGACAGAATATAATCACATGCTAAATTGTTAGGTGCTTTAAAGGAGCTAGAACTCTGTCTGCCCTGGGAGTCCAACTCTGCTGAAGGCTCTTTTGTGCCTGAATTCCAACAAGTGCTTAGCCAGGAGCTTGGCCTGGAATTCCCTGGGAGAAAGGGGCAGGGTCCTTGGCTTCCTTGTACTGCAGGAGCTTGCTCTGGGTTTTGGGCTGGGTGCTCTAGGAGCTCCCCCCAAAGGCTAGCATGGTCAAGGGATGCTTCCTGCAGGAGAGGGATGAGCTTCAGGTGAGTTGCTAAGACAGTAATAAGCACACTGGCCTGACTGGAGAGAAGATCCTGTTCTCTGACCCTGGAGAAATCCTGCTTCCTTTCTATGCCTCAGTCACCTCATCTGTGAAATGGTGATCACTATCCTGCTCTGCTTATTTCATGTCTAGCATAGGGGACCAGCTTTCGGCAAGATTTAACCTTTTCTGAGCTTGTTTCCTCATCTGCAAGATAAGGGTGACAGTAAATCCTCATAAAGCTGTGGTAAGGATTGAATGAGAGAGATGCATGTAAGGTGCTTACTTTACATGCTCAATAAATGTTATTTGTACACCACAAATGTCCTGTACCTGTGCATGATGCATATGCAGTTGGACTGGACAAGTAAGGCGGCCCAGGTCACAGGCCCCAAAAGCCAGATGCCGTTTCTATCCCTGTCCTTCCCGTTCTGCAGCTCCTCCCTACCACAGCGTCCATAGCCCTTTTTGAGAGCAAGTCCTCTGGCCCTTCTGGGCCAGTACCCACTTCTAACAATGGCCGGATTTCCACTGCCTCCGGCCTGGCTGTTTCCTGCTCTCTTCCAGGGTGTGAGAGGTTGAGGGAGGAGGGGGCCTCGACGCCAAGGGGAACAGGAAGGTGCCTGGAAATATTTGGGGTATGGGACTTGTGGGACAGGACACTTGGGAATCTGGGGTTCTGGCTAGGAGGCGGGATCTTTTATTCTTGAGGGGAGAAGTAAAGGTTGTAGCAAAATGGATCTTATTGAGGGCTGGGGGTGGTGAGGATGCTTAGCTCTCAGTCTTCCTAACAGTTTTAGGGACTCCAGGGACCCGGCCCCCGTGCTCTGGTTGCCAGGGCAACTTCATTTTTTTGGAGCTTTGATGTTGTTCCTAATCTCCCCCTTGCCCTTCCTCTGCGGTGCCTCCCCCTCATCAGGGAACTAGGGGAGGAGAAGGCAGAAACTTGAGAGGCCCCTTCCTCTCTCTCTGAGTGTCCCATCTTTGCTCTAAGGGTCTGCTCTTCATTCTCCAGGTCAGGCCCCACTCTCAGGGCCCCCAGGGGCCATCATGCCAGCTGGGGGCCGGGCCGGGAGCCTGAAGGACCCCGATGTGGCTGAGCTGTTCTTCAAGGATGACCCTGAAAAGCTCTTCTCTGATCTCCGGGAAATTGGCCATGGCAGCTTTGGAGCTGTGTACTTTGTGAGTTGGGACTTAGGAGAATGGGGTAGGGATGGGCACTGCATTCTTCTTGCTGTGGGTCCACAGCCCTCTACATTACTGTACCACACCAGCCTTTCCTGCCCTCTCCAGCAAGTCTTCCCACTGCCCAGTTCTTACCAGGAGCCTTCACTACCTTCTGGTCTGGTCTTCTAGGCCCGAGATGTCCGGAATA